CACCGCCACCCCCCCCCCGCCACACCCCCCCGAGCTTAAAACCTTTTGCCTGACGCTCCTCCAGCAAACCAGCCCCAGGAACACGCTCCCCCTGTCCCCCCCGGGAAGCCCTCAGACCTCCAAGGCCAGCAGAGCACAGTTCGGGTTCCCACCCCCTCCACCCTCACGCTCGGAAGCCGAGGTCTCGCTCACAGGCCAACCGCTCGGCTTCCGGAACCGTCCCTTCAGGAGTCACTGGAAAGATGCAGGAGCTGGCCCGCGGGACTTCGCCTACTGGCCCATGAAGTGAGGCGTAAGGAGAAAGCTGGTGTTTCCCCAGAATCACCGATGCAGGGGGGGGATAAACAAACTGTCAGGTAACACCAACCTCTTCCCAGCACCTGACGGGCTGGCTTGTTCTCCTCCCCTACTACAGCAACGCCTTTTACAAAGGGGATTGAAACTTCCCCTCCAAGCCCTTTGTAAACCAGATCCTTCGATTACCACACCTGCAACAGTACTGCTGATTTGCGGAAAACCAAACCACCACTGTGGCTTTGGTCACCAGTATCATCATAACACAACTGAAAACCTTTTCTTCAAGGCAAAAATACATTCCTGGGTAGAAGACAGTGTCCCCATCAGCCTGGCAAAGCAGAGTGGAGAGTGCTCCGTCTCATGGAGAGTAAACCATTTCCACAGACGGCTTCCTGAAATGTAAAGACAGAGAAAATAAAATACAGCCAAAAAAGTTTAAAATCGACAGCTCCCATCGTCTCGGCATGCTTTCATCCAAGCTGCTGTTTGCTACTTACACAAGAGGAGGGTCGTGCATGGAGCTTCCCTCGGCCAAGCCTTGGGCTACCAGCAAACTGCTTGCACGGCTGTGAAAAGAACACGGCCTCCAAATGTTTCCAGTCTAACAGGAATCCGCTGAGGAGTCTGCTGTAGGTCGAACCATGTTGTGTCAGACCTGGACGCCACCTTCATGACCCCTCAGAATAAGCTCTACGTACTTTTACATGTTCAGCTTATTTTTTTTTTTAAAGTAAGTTTGGTATAAATATGCTTTATTCACAATTTGACAATGTCGTTATCCTCTTCACAATCACATTCCCAGTGCTGAGTCTGCAGCACTTTAAAGTCTTTTAAATCTGCATTTTCTGGTTTTCACCTGGAGGTAAAAAGGAAAAATTTAAAACCAGCCACAGCTGGTACTGCTGCACCGGCCTGTGCACCAGAAACAAAACCCAGGACATTTTCTGTTACTTTGACCATAGGGACGGAAACCAGGAGAAACTGGAGACGGAAACTATCTTGGAAATTAGCTAGTCCATCTCCCTGCCAATGGAAAACTGAGAACAAGCACTCCACAGCTGCTGTGGCCACTCCCATTAAAATCCACTCAACAGCCCCTCAAAAGCATTTTGGCTGGGGTCAGAGGTTGGTTTTGGCTACTGTACTCCCGAACTAAGCCCACCCTCATTCCCCAGGAACAGGACAGTAAGTCAGAGAGGTCTCGGAGGGCTTTGGCATACCGTATCCATCACCTGGTTTTAGCTAACTTCTTTTCCTTTTTAAGCCATGAATTCCCAGCCAATCCTTTTTCCTTGCCTGCTCAGAGCCCCTTTCCTAAGCACAGTCAGTCAGTTCCAACATCAGCATCTTGGGCGCTTGGGGTTTCCCCAAGTACACAGCCCAGCAGGGATCACAGGACCCCGTGAAGCTTTGGAGTATCCGTTTTCTTTACGACAAGCCTGACAACACCTCGCTTTAGCTCTTTCCAAAGAGCAGATACATAAAAACTAGCAGAGTAAGGTGGGGAAAAGACAAGATGCTGCCATAAAGTAGGCAGTGGGGAGTATCTCTGCCACCGCTTGGCAAAGGGCGCCCTTCTACGCTGGGAATAATCCTCTCCCTACAGAAAGCAGGGCTCCCCTTAAGGGACGGCAGAGGAAACTCAACAGAAGATTCACTGCTGTGAAGCCATGGAAAGAATGAAGTCCAGGCTGATTTAACGGGACTGAATTGGTTTGCCTGGGCCAATTCACAAGGAGTCAAACAGCACTGGAGGCTCATTCTAGATAACTTCTTGTCACCAAAACAGTCGGGCCTGTAAGTACCAAACAGCAGAGATACGGCGGGGTGCGCGTGTTTCTACATCATCAGGGGCAGGGAGGCGAGACACAAGGACGGCATTACCTTCCTCAGCAGCATTCACAGAACTAGAAGGGTTCACAGTACTCTGTCCCTGCCCTCGGACAGGGCCAGCGGGGACGGAAAGCCCTAGAGCAGCCCTGCATCCCCACTGCAGAACCACACCGAGTGAATTCCTCTGGGCAGCAGCTGTTCCCTCTAACATGGTTAAAAATTGTCTTCCCAAGAACATCCCAGCACCTATGTCATGCAGACACCATACACAGTCTTTCAAAGAAGTTCGCTCTCTTGTGCTCTAGTGCCTGTAGAAAGCCCTGGATCCTCTCTTCGCGCATGGCAGTGCATTTCTGCAACAGCGTCTGTCGGCGCCGAGAGTCTCCGTGGGATCCAAACCCCTCCTGCTGCAGCTTCTCCATCACATAAGTCTGATCCCTTTCCATCTGCTGTAGCCTCGTTTCCTCCACGTAGGAGTCTCTGGCCTTCTAGAGTGAAAAGCAGCAGAGTGTTAGCACTTTACCAGGCCTTTTCAGCTCATCTGTGGTACAGATGCAAGGCAGCACAGGTTGTGGGAGAAACAGCCTCTGCTTGGCCATCAATCTGCAGGTGAAACAAGGGGTGGCTCTGCGCGCACCTCCTCCACTTTGAGGCAGCCTGCTTGGTTAGTTAGAAAAAAATAAATACAGGGATATCCTTCTGGACTTTCTGTCCAAGACACAAGTCTGCTCACAGCATTAACTCCTAGAGAAAATAGATAAAGGTCATGACAGATTCTGGAAAAACCCTCAGATACTGGAAACAGAGAGGAACAGCGTACCAGAGGACTTTACGACCACAGACACATGCACGAGCTGGCCTCGCCAGTGTCATCGGAGAATCTTTGATCCTATTCACACCGCAGCTGAAAGGTTCTAGGGGATTCAGAACAATGTTTTATGGGGCAATTCTTTGAGCTGATGATCAGCTATTGAGCTGACCAGCTTCAATAAAAAAAAAAACCCAAACAAGAGTGGGCTCAGCATTCCCAAATGCCTGTGATCTAATAATGTACTGGCTCGAAACACAGCAGGATGGGCAGGAGAAGGGTAAAGGCAGTTGCTATCTTTGCCTGCCCTTCAAGTATTTGAAATATTTTTGCAGAGCATCACTTTTGGATTTCTTATTGCACATATGCTAGCCTGCAGCCTCCAGCAGCAAAAAACACATCTGCATGCAGAAATATTAGGCTTTCATTTTTAAAAAGGGTAAAACTGGTCACCGTGACATAACCTGACACACACATATTTAGGGAGTGCTGGCCTTTCAAACGGGGAAGAAGAAATAATTACTCTAATGAGAGCCTGACTCACTCTTCACTACACTTTCCCTGCGCCCAAGTCCGTAGTCTATGCTCTGGCACTGTAAATTAGCTTCTGTTGTGCTAGGCATGAGAGTAGAAATATCCCTAGCTACAGAAAGCCCACTCCACTGATAGCACTCCACTGCTCTAGCTCTGCTTATTTGAAATGCAAAGACCATCAGCCTGTTCAGCATTAGACTTCCACCCTTGGACAAAGGGAAATTCTGTCTGTTCACCAGAGGAGACTCTGCGCAACCACCTCCACAGGGCAGGCTTGCCAACCAACGGCTGCATTCTCTCCCTTGGTCTACCATGTACCAACAGCGGGTTGTAGCTGATCCTGGGACTAAGCGGTGAGCAACAACCAGGGAGCAGACTCCCCCGAGAGCAGGCTAACTGGAAAATGAAGATGATAACTATTAAATGGGGTGCTGTTTGAGTTGGTGGAAAGAGGATATCTTTTGTCAAGTACCTCCAAATGAAGGTTTTTCTGTACCTTGTCAACCCCCCCCCCGGGCTGCCCATCCACACCGTAACTGCCTCCAGTGTCCTGAACACAGCTGCACTCTCCCAGAGTAGACACAGCTGCTGTCATATATTCCGGCCTCTCGGCAAGCCAGTGCCCTAGCCCCACCACCCTCACTGACAAGCATCCCTTTCGCCAAGGTAATTTGTTTCAAGAGCTCCAGATACTTTTGGCTTTCAAGATCACCTACTTCAGGTGCAAAAACTCCAGCTCCTGAACCTCAGCGGTTTCTCCGAGTGAAAAGTCCTCCCTTCTGCGCAGCTGGGCCGCATTCCTTGAAAAAAGGGCAGGCTTACATGCTGCAAAGTGGATCTTACAGCCAGAAAACTGACCAAAGAACAAATGGGGACAATAAAAAGCCTTGATAATAGCGTAGTATGAACACAGAGCCACAAACGAGAACTAAGAAAAGATGAGACTAGCTAGGAACAGAAGAAGCATTTGTTACCCACTGGAAATTAGCACCAGGAGCAAAGTCAGAACAGTGACCTTACTGTTCAAGTCAGAGGCAGAGCTGATGTCAATGACAAGCACTACTGCTTTTTTTGCTTTCCCCTTCCTGCAGAAGGTGAATTGCCATTAGTTGTATTAATACAATAAATTGTGGGTAGGAAAAGGGCAGACTTGGGGCAGAAAGAGGAATAAGAGAGGTTAAGGACATGGAGAATTTGGATGCTTCCATACTGACTGCACCCAATTAAATTCACCCATAACCACAACCGCCTATAATCTCTTTGACAGCTCTCAGAGGTGAGCAAGGTCCCTGAAGGTAGAACAGGACAATAAAACGCCTATCTTTAAAAACAGAGGACCCACTTTGTTTTGCTTAAAAATAGCCAGATTACTAAGTCACTACTAAGTTGGCTAGACTTATCTGAACCAGGTCAGGGAGAGCTCACAACAACAAATCTAAGAAGAGGGGAACAATGACAACGAGCAATAGGAACAATGTCTTTAGTAGGCACATCTGAACCTACAGTTGTCCACAGTCTCACAGCTCAGGCAGCCTCACTTCAGCTCCCAGAAAGGAAACTCTAAACCCACTTGTTGCAACCCTGAAAACAATAGCAGAATTAGAGGAAGAGCATACAAATTCTCCCTGCTCATTCCTGAGTGAACTCAGCAGTCTTTGCTTGAGCCACCGATGAATTGGTTTGAGTTAAACTGGCTGGTTTTGCCCTGTAGCAAATCAGGAGTGCTCACTTGTTCTGTCCTGTCGGCTGAGGAGCGGGGACAGATACTTCCAGCTGGTGGAACGAGCAATAAGCAGTAGAAAGAGTGGTGACTTCAGATATTCCCAAAAGTAGAGAAGTGTGGCCACCCGCTAAGATGCTGTGACAAGCCACACGGGTACAGGAGAAGCAACACATCTGGCATTAGCTGCTACTAAAACAAGACCTTAACTAACCGCAATAAACAAACAAGTCCTCTGTTCCCACTCTGCACACTCTCACCTGATCTCCAGCACGCTGCTGTGCGGATAACGTGCTGTGCTGAGCTTCCCAGCCCCTTGAGGCTTCCTTACCTGTAAAGCACTGTAGTTCATCTGGAACCGAAGGATGGCCTCACACAAGTTCCAAAAGGAATATTCTGGCCACAAGACTGACTGAAACACCAGGCATGAATGCGATGTCTGCAGAAAGCAAGATCACCAACAATTTAATCATCTAGCAAGGGAAAAAGTCATCAAGATGCAGCTCTGTTGGTCAAACTCTGCCAGTTTCCCCACAAAGATTTTACCTGGGCTGTGTTATCAGGTTCTACTTAAAATGAAATAAATATCAGCCAGGACAGTTTGAAATTGCACAACAGAGTCATTCTAATTAGTTTTTAATGCTGTGACGCTAGTCATCCATCCCTGCAAAGAATTCTCTCTAATGCTACACTGGTCTTCAGAGAGGTATTTTTAATAGCTTAAGCATCACAGACTTAAAACAAAACTAAAATAGCAGCACTGGACTACCAAAGACT